GGTAACGAACTAATCATGTGATTCAGGTGTGTTGACCCAAGGTGAGATCTAAAATCTGCAGGGACACCGGCCCTCGTGGACTGAGATTGCCCACCCCTGGTCTACACCATGGGTGTTGAACTCCAGGCCTCGAGGGCCGGTGTCCTGCAGATTTTAGATAACATCTTGGGTCAACATACGTGACATTTTGAAGAGGTAATTTAGCCATTTAAATCTGCCGCCCTCAAGGCCTGGAGTTCAACGCCTGTGGTCTACACCAAAGCAGGCGTACTAACCAACAATTACACTCACAAGCCAGGTTTTTCACAAAGTGGTGAAACTATTACACACACCGGATAGCCATAGAAACCACAGATGACAGTGGAAGTTCATTTAACCTTCAGAGAAGCACAAGGGCCTTAACAGACTCCACAAAACCAAACTGAGCTAACGTTTGTTCTCAACTTTCCTTCACCTGTTCAGTCTGACTAGCTTAAGACATTCGTGGAAGATTTTCCAGCATGATGATGTTTTTCCCCAAAAGATGCGTAAGAGTGGATCATTCCATCACTAAATAACTGACCACACCTGATGGTTTTCTCTTATTCATGTTCTCTGCATCTACCTTTGGTACTTTCAGGACTTTTTGGCATAAAGAGCCTAAAGAAATCCCCTATTTTTTTCTGGCTACTACACAAAACTCTTAAATGAAAGTAATAATTCACCTAAAAGAATCATACAAATGTGGAATGTGTTTCAGCACTACATCAGCATTCTTTCCAATCCAGTAACCTGTCACTTACCTTTTCACTGTGAAGGTGTCCAGAAGTTGTTGAGGTAATACCCCCTCCCCCTCCCCAATATGACTCAAGGTAAACCAGTCTCACCTATCAAAACCAGTGTGGGTTCAGTAGGTTTAGAGAGCGCTAGCTTTTCTTTACTTGCCTTCAACTTTGGCACTGAGGAAAGACGTCAGACGCCCTGCTGAGGAATAAAAGCTGCAGCATTTCAGACAAGACCAGTGAGGAAAGTTTGGGCGTGTTTTTTTTTAATCAGCGTGACGATTTTAACAAGCTTGTCTCACGGTATTTCATCGCTAACAAACGGATAACTTTTAAAATAATGATATTTTCCGGTGACCCTACAACAATATTTGAATCAGGTTAATTAGAAGTGTTTGACAATGCACATATAAACGCTCTGAGGAGACTTCCGACTGACATTTATTTTCTGTAAGTTAACAGTTACTTCCTGCATGCATCGAACTCCTACATTTGAGCAGTTTAAGTTTTTCACAGCGGTTTGTTGTGCGGTGTAAAAGTTTTACATGATGGAGTCAACGTGCAGATTAGATTTTATACCAAACAAAGTTAAGTTCAGTTAAATCTACAGTCACAAGTATCGCCTAGAAACTGTTGCTGAACTCATTCAGCTTCTCTAAGGTCACAAACAACATCAGTATTACTCAAACGAAAAAAGTACAAAAAAAATAAAATAAAAAATAAACACCTACTCCAGACGGCAAGCAGTAAAAGTACTACAGCACAATTACATATTAAAACAACCAGGAGGAAAAATACGAGTGTAAAAATTGCCTCAAAGTAATAAAAACAGAAAGAGACGTGGACGTCGGCTATTCGGTTCCTCCTGTCAGCATCGCAGGGGAACGTTACGCGCTCAGCCACTGACAGGGAGAGGATAGAGTCACGTGCATCAGGAGGCGCCGAGCGGCGACGCAGTCGGACGACAATCCTGAAAAAAAGAGCAAATGACAGAAATGAACGATCTGCAACTCTTGAATACAGGACGTTGTTCCACGATAATTTCTAATTCGACTTGTTTTTCCCGAAATTCAGAGAGTCCATCCTCAACAGTGCATCTTTGTCGTATTATAACACACTTAATACTATTTTATTATCTGAAAAGCCAGTTAAATGGATCGACGTGCATTACCAACGAATTTACTTGTGGAACAGCACCTTGTACGCATGCTTTTCAAATCCCCGGCTGCCTCTGCCGTTACAGGAACGCTGTTTTAGGAAAGAGCAACACCAGTCTACCTCAGACCTATCCTCACCTTCAAAATGCGCCGCCCTTGCTTAATAAGCGTAGCGTGCAGGCGGTGGCGGAGGCAGCCGATCTGCGTAGGGGTCCCTTGCACGTGGAACTCCGTATGCAGAGCGATCATAGGAGTAGCCGTTACTGGCAGGGGGCACTGGTGTGGTAGGCGGTCTCCTAAGCGGACTTCGATCTCGGGCGTAGTATGAGGACGGAGGAGGTGGAGGAAGGGGCCGACGCTC